AATAGGCTACTCTTATTTATTCAAAGACTGTATTGAACCAACAGCGTATGTTTTTACTGCTGCCGAAGAAGTGACATTTTGAATTTCCTTGACTGATGATTTGTTCCATGGCGCCTTATCCAACCTAATATGATAATAAACTAGGGCTTTAGAAATGTGAAGCTTTCACTGACCGGCACCCAAGGCGATGCACCGGCTTCTTCTTAAGAAAGCATCTGATGAGATCTTTGGAGGAATCATTAAAGTTTTTGTGTTCGAACTTGCAGTCATCCTCCAGAGTGCGTCGAGTCACCTCCTCATTCTGCACCTTTTCCCTAAAGTCTTTAAAAGGCAAACGGGCAGCCAGCATCTCATAGATGGTGCAGCCCAGAGACCACCAGTCCACAGATGTGCGATAGGCCTCCCTCTTTAGGATCTCAGGGGCCATGTAACCAGTCGTACCAGCCTGAGAACACAAACAGGGGGGAGAGAAAGTAGGATGAGGGAGATCTCATAAACATAAACCTTTGTTTTCGGGGCGCTGGGGCCTACAGAACATATTTCTACTTGGACTTTTATGTAATCTTTGCATTTTTATTCAAACCTTAAATATTATTTGAAGATAAAACTGGTGATGAGGAGTCTCAGGCAAACTGAGGAACAACTGCTATGACCTGTAGCATTGTATGCACACTGAAAGAGAAATATTTAACAACAGGTTACACAAGTGCCGTGTGCAGATGAAAATTAGCTTTAAAGCTAACTGCGATCCAACACATCAGACGGTAACATTTACATCTGTTTTAGTGACTTTAAAATATGTATCACTCTCCTGCAAAGACATTTTTTGTATTATTCTGTGTAGAGTTTTAGTTTGGAAACAAAACATACAGACAGAATCATACAATGTGAAACAATAAGACACTGTTGCATTAAAAAATGTTGCATAACAGCATCAATCAGATCAGTGGGCATTATTGTTCACTCTGTATCTCCTCTGTTGTGAGTGAAGCCTGCTGAGAATCTCCTGACTCATCTCCTTAGACAGACACGTGGAAGCCATATCTGGTACTAGTAGAGCACAGATTAACCAGCTAATTCTAACAGGCTCTGCTCAGTCCTCCATACATTTGCTGTGATCAGCCAGTGTAGCGTCCAACTGGGAGGAGGTCAGGCCCTTTTAATCAGATTAGGTTGAGTCATGCTGTCTGTCAGACGTCAGAGCAGGAATAGGAATAATCATATCTATTTCCGGTAAACTGCTTGTATTGGTGGGGGAACAATTATGCAGTGAAGTAGTATAGCAAATATTGATAAACGAATGAGAAAACCAAGCAAATATTCTATATATTAACAGTTTGATTAGGATGGAGATTATGTTGTGTCGCACAAACCTAATAAAGGCTTTGTACAGGGCACTACAGTGTCAATGTATGATGGTGAGCACTGCAGGTTAATCTGGGACACGTCACCACACCTACCTTCTGGCAAACCTTTTTGTTCTTTGGTAGCTCCATAGCCAATCCCAGGTCTGACAGCCGACACTGTCCTTTGGCATCCAGAAGCACGTTCTCAGGCTTCATGTCCCGGTACACTATGTCCAAAGTGTGCAGGTGAAGAATCCCAGTGGTTATCTGGGCGACGTAGTAAACAACACGCTCCATACACATACCCCGCTCCCCAAGCTCGTATATGTGGAAATGTAGGTCTCCTCCATTCATAAGGTCCATGACCAGGCACAGGTGGTTCTTGTTGTCGTAGGCGTAAACTAGGTTCACAATGAAGAGGCTGTTGACCTGTTCCAGGATCCGCTTCTCCAGAAGGGCAAGCCTCTCGCAACCTTTCTTCTTCAAGCACCTCTTATCCAGCTTCTTGCAGGCGTACATCTGGCCTGTGTGTTTGACCTGCACTGCACACACCTGCAAGACAGAGGCACATTCAATGTTATAACTGTTACTGTGGCATCCTTAAATTTGTTTCTGATAATTTTACTGGGATTTAAAAAAGTAAGACAATGCAACTTTGACTTAACAATGGCCATTCTATATACATGTTCAAAAATAAGATGCTTGGATTTGTTGAACTTACCTCACCAAAACCACCTTTTCCCAAAGTCCTAAACTCATAAAAGTATCTGTCATTGATTTTCTGCTTCTCGTACTCCTTCCACTGCAAGAACTTATAAAAAAAAGGGCTATCCAGATACTCCACGAACGGTTTGCCCCTCAGCAAGTCTCTTGTGGCTTCTCGTAACTTGTCCAACATCACCTCATCAAATTTTTGGATTGATAAGCCCTTGCATATTCCAGCTGCCTCTCCTGTAAAGTATGAGAGAAAACTCCTGGACCCGGGCTGAAAAAACTTAGCAAGGATTCTCTGTTTGACCTTCTCTCTGGCTTCTTTTTCAGCAAAGCTCCAGTCACTAAGCTCCTGCAGGAACTCAGTGGCGACCATGTACTGCGAGTTAGAGGCCAGGAGAAACTGCTGGAACAACTTCTTCCCAATGGGCTGTTGCTCACACAGTGACTCGTAATTCCTCCCCACTGAAGCCTGGAGATCGGAGGACATCTTTAGTTTGGGCAGCGACAGAGATATCCACTGATCTCTGAGCTTATCATGATTGATATTCTGAGCCTTCAGGTAGGCCGTGTTGGCCACCAAGTTGTCCAGTCCAGGCAGGGTATCCATTTTGGATTGTATGCTGTCACATAGCCTACATGATCAACTACACATGCAGCTCAATCATCTGCAGGTTCCAGGCACAACTAAGCACCTGAAGCACCTTCATGCTGAACATCCTCTACCGCTTGTGCCTATCCTCTTGTAGCATTAAAAGTAGTACTATTCTTGGGGATTTGCCATCAGCTGAGTGTCTTTGCATGCGTATTTGTAGACGCCACTAAGAGAAAGCAACTTATCTGGTCTGAACTTAAGAGGCTTTAGGCCTGTCTATTTTTAGGAGATCCAAAGTAACTGTGTGCAGTAATTGGGCTGCCAGCATGACACGCTGATGTGGCAGATCCTGACCGTAACAAATAATGAGTGATTTTAGCTTGTTATGAGATAAAGAAGCCACTGAGATGAGTATAATATGTGAAGTATGCTCACTTCTTCGCTTATTATAGGTGAAAGGGTGGGGGATTACGGATACTGAATTAGTCCTAATTAGTTAAGTAAGCAGCCTAAGATATTAATTTTCCTCACAGACTTTTAATGTAGCTCTCATGGGAGTGAAAGCTGTACAGCTCTGATGCTCAAAATAACAAATCTTTTCAGCATCAGCAGCATGAAAGGTACACCTTTTTATTTTCCCTCCGCATTCAGCCACATCACTGGCATACACCGCAATTGAATGATGCACTCATCAAGATTTATTGTAGTCATTTTATGTTTAAGATAATTACAAATGACACTATTCTTTCTGTTTCTAACACACTACCGCCTACAGAGGATTTGGACAAAATAACATGAACACCTGCACAAATGGTTGGACATTACAATTGCAAAGCTGACATTTTTCAAGGTTTTCTAAGGTTGTGTCAAATAATGCATTATATGGTCAAATCTACCTCTGCATGCATTCGTCTTATCAATAATTAAATCCACACCTCACAGATTTAGTATTATTTTATATTATGCACTTTAGGAAAGTAGTTATGTAGTGTTTATTGCATAATCAAGCGATTATGGCTGAGTACTTTATTTCTGTTGTATTAAAGCAATGTGTCAATACTAATTACAGCATTTAGTGAATAATTGATTGGTCAATCGTCAGAAAGATAATAAATATGTTTCCTTGTCTAACATTATAGGTAATCATATATATTAGCAGAGGTTTTTAGGTACACCCCCTTGGGCTTTAAGAAATGGTTTTCCTAAGTTTAATAGACTGAGACATTATATAATAAATGGCAGAATATATAATAATGAAAATAATCATTAGTTGCAGCCATAGTACTTTTTGTCAAATCACAATAAGGGTCCTTTATGTGGCATTTTGACAGAAGATGAAAGCGAAGGGAGTGCTTATTTTTCACTTCCTCGAATGATGGTTGTTTGTGGCAATGACCTTCCCCTCATTAGGCTCATGTCTAAGTGAATTATCCTGTTCAGTCTCCCTGTCTAACAATGTTCCTTGACACTGCAACTGCAGAGGGAACACTGATATGTTCCGCATGAGTGTGACTGCAGAAAACAAAACATTTTATCATGTTTGTTTATCATGTGTTTTTGTATTTGCTCAAATAAATATGTAAAATCCTGGCTGGACTTTACAACTGCTTTGTAGTGATGGAAGAGGTATTCATATATATTACTCAAGGAAAACGTTTTTTTTAAAAAGCATGACAAAATATGTTACAAGTTGGCCATTCAAATACACTTGAGGTCAATTGTGCTTGATCGAAGAAATGTGGTAAATGACTCCATTCAAAGTGTTACTTATTATATATAATTTGTATTGCTGATTCATCACCATCTAAGCCGAAAAGTACTTGACTGTCTACGGGAGTTGAGCCTGACTGGAACAAGGCCAACCTCCTTATACATGTTTAACAAGTGTTAGAGTTAGCATGGCCGCCTTCCAGGTAGCTCACTCAGACTGCCAAGGTACTTATAGCAATAAAGGGTTACTTAGGGATTGTATAATCCATTCTTTAACTAGACATTAATGTTTGGGGAATGCTAAATCATTGTGAACTCCAAAGATAATGTTTAAGATATTCATACTTTTAAAGGCCGATTGTTTTATAGCATTGGCACATTTAAATCTAGGTCTGATGGGTCTATAGCTCCAGCACATCAGCTGAGTCTAATATTTTTTTGTGACTGATCATTTGAATCATTCAAGAATATAAATATGTTTTCAATAAGAGGCAAACCATCTAAAATAATAAATGCTTTCTAAAGACAAGCAGTGTTAAATTATCAATAATAATAAATGTAAACTACCATTTACCATGTTTCCACTTGTTTATAGGAATTATTTACCAATCCTGAATTACTGGATGAACAAATACATGTTTACAGCTATACACAGTTATTTTATTTTTTTAAAGTCACATGTTCAGGATGTGCTCGACACCACCACAGACAATAACATAAAGCTAACATGTGACCAAACACTGAAACAAGGTTCATCCACCTCTTCATGATTCCTCCAGCCACATCCACCAATCAGTGACCAAAGAGTCTGCACCATTTTATTTTGTCCATCGTCCTCCTTAGACACTGGGACAACTGGAACATGCATTGATAGGTAGGAGGACAGTCACCAGGGTCAGTGGCTTTCTGCACAGGACGCTGCAGTGATCATTGTCAAGTCTCAAACCACTTTTAGGTGCACACAGGTGTCTCCAGAAGATCCAGACAGCCTGGAGTTATTTGCCAATTCTCTGAACCACCCAGTCCTGCTGGCAGAGGGGACAGCGATTGTTCTGCTTCACCCAAAGGGACATGCAACAGTTATGGAAGGAGTGGTTGCACTCTCCCCATACAACTGAGAGATGAAGAAGATAGAAGAAATTGGGAAAGACAATTAATGAGTTAGTCACACAGAATATAAAAGTACAACTTTTTTATTTATTTAATAGTGAATGGTGAAAACTAACTTCCTTTCAAAGTGCAGGTGCTTACATTTGTGTTTTATCTCAATCTCTTCACAAAAAGGCACAATCTTTGGCATCTAGGTGATGCTTCAGTACAATCAAACAAGTGAACATGACACTAATTAATGGTATATCAATGGTGTATTAATATAGATGTACACTAGTCAATAAGAAAGCATATTAACTGCATTCCTGTGTAGATATAGTTTATTCATTTTCAATAACATCTTACATCTTTGGTTTATACCTTAATTGAACTTGTACTGTTTATTTTCAAATGTTTAGATCTTTGTTTCCTCTTCGTATTAACATATTCAATTATTATAACTATAAATTACAATGATATTAACTGGTCAGCAAATGCTTTTGTAATGTGTGTGCATCTTACATATAGATCTTGAGTTAAATATCTGTTGGCAATATGCCTACTATTATTAACTATATAATGTGCGTCACCCAAACAAAACAATGATAATATATGCAAATTTAGGGTAATGTCAATCATTGAAATGACATGAAACGACCAGCTGCTTTAGTATGTTATTTTTGACAGCTCCGACCAACTAGCTAATGTTAGCTTGTTGGATCGACCTGCCATCTATGGATTTGTTTGGTGATTAAAACACAGCTGTAACATATTTTAAAGCCTATAGTCTTACCAACACAGTCCTCTTGTTTGTTTTCCGCCTGACATCGGAGACAAGCGTCTGTAAACAAAGAAAAAACATGTTACAGAGGCGCTGGTCCTGTTACTTCGGGTACTAATGCTGATATTAGCCACGTTAGCTCCACCAGCCCGGTGTTCGAGGCTAGGCTAGCCGACCAACAGCGTCGGTTCCTCGTACTCACCCATCACTTGTACCCGGCAAATGGCACACGTATCACACTCAACGTCCCAGCTCCACATTGCCACAGCATTCCACTTCTTTAGGGAAAACATTTTGTCCCCTCCCGACTTAGAGCTTAAAGAAGTGTTGTGAGAGAGGACAATCGGCGGCTCGTCACCGTCATCCATCTCTGCTGCACAGTTAAGCTAAACAAGCTAAGCTAAACAAAATGGACGTAACAGTTATAAGCAATGCTAATGCTAGCTGGTCTTCTCTCCATAGCAACAAACGATGGCGCTGTTCTTCCAGTGTGTGAATTACATGGATTTATTTACAGCTTCTCAGTCAACACACAGCAGGTATTGGGGATATTTTAAATGTGTAGCCTTTTTTGTTTTATCCACACTGTTAGACATTATTATTATTATTATTATTATTATTATTATTTTCAGCCTACCTATTTACAGTACCTTAACTTCAATATTACAGTGAATTTGCTTTACAGTAGCCTACGCTATACTGCTCTACTGTAATCTTGGTTTCCAGTAGGCCTATGTTACATTGTTTAATGGTTGATGATTTAATATGTTTGGAAGTATGAAAGCCTACTGTAAACTTTGTACTATACTCTCTCATACAACAAAGTATCATTTACTGTAATAAATATTAGCCTTATGCAAATTCAAACACAGGTTTACTGGATTTAATGGCTCTAAGAATATATAGCATTTAATTTAATCAAAAAGGTAACACTCTGCACAGTGTAAATAGCATGTATTAATGTTAAAAATAGCATTGACTAATTAACATTTTGTGTCTCATTAAATTACAGTAACCAATTATTGTTTGTTAATGCAGTTCATTAAAAAAAAGGTGAAAAAAAGCATTGTTAGTTGACAAATGCCCATATGAACTCAGTTTATAAATAGTGATCATACTTAGAAGCTTGGCACAAATGTGTTTCCCACACACACACTTAGTTTCTTCTAATTTCAGCTAGTAAAAATGACAGAAAATGAGGGGAATTTCTTTGTTTTAACTTAACAAACTAAAGGAGATGGAGATGTAAAGGTTATTAAAGTTTCTCGTCAGAAGCTTCTTTTGGTATTACAAGGATGACCGACTGTCAATGACATCTCTTTTATAATGCTACACTCAGTAGGGCTTTGACTAAACCGCATTAAGACAACTGTTTATACAGTAATAAAGCTTCTCTAAGTATACAGTGGTGATAAACAGCCCCAATAACCTCTTCTGGCTTTGCATGCAACTTCTGTGTAAACCACTCTGGATTATTTACAACTATAGTTGAATACTTACCATATTGGTAAAATCAGTTCTGCTGATGAAGAGCGGTTTGAGCTTCTTGTAACATGAATAACTTAATGGCAAAGGGTGCATATTTCCGACTTCCAAATAAGCTTGATAGTAAAATCCTCTGCTGGGACTGAGCACAGCAGTAACAGTAACAGTAGGTGGTCTCATGAATAATTTACTATGGCTCAGCTACAATGTTTTTGCTTGTCTAGCGCCACCCTGTGTATAAACAGGGCACTGTTTAACTATGTAAATGTATCCTGTAAATATAATGTATGATGTCCTTTATTGTTTTATGTTTCATGTGGAACCTATATGCTGCAGGTCTCCCTTGAAAAAGAGATCTATGATCTCAATGGGACCAATCTGGTTAAATAAAGGTTTGAAATGAAATGAAATGACTGCAGCATCGACCCAAGAACCTTTTCATGCTACTACAACTATACTAGCCGTAGCCTATATCCTGAATTGTTTTGTATTTCATCGTAATAAATGCACATCATTTACTAATATACAATATACTGCAATGCATGCATGTAAATAATGTATGTATTATATGTGAATGGCTCATGCATCATAATACTGCAAAGTATTTATTGAACATAAAAGGCTTCAAGATTTGTAAAAATAAAAAACATAAATTAGTATAGCTATAGAAAAATAATTTTAAACAATAAACACAATAAGCTTAAATGTTGTTATTAAAATATCTGACAATTGACACGCTTTTAACAAAAGCACCACTCCAGTTTACTTTAAGCATATGTAAATATAACAATATCTGACTGTATTTAAGCAAATATAATCAATCCTTTTTTAATCAGTGATTTAATCAGTGATTAAAAACGGTAAGTGTCTTGCAGCATCCATTTATTCTAGATAAAAAGAGCTGTCATAACCATAAAAAGACAAAACCTCCCCCAGGACTGTGGCAGAAAGTGAGCATGTAACAAACAGTAACACCATGTTCTTGTTTCTACCTCCACTCCCTCACATCCCAGTCTTTGTACAGATGCCTGTAGAGAAAACTGGTGGTTTTGTCATCACTGTTTGAATGTGTCTTGTTCAAACTAACGCTTCATGATGGATTTTTCCACAGCGAGGTAGGAAACCTCTCACAGTGATTACAGTGCTGACATGTGGAGCAACATTTTTACTTTAGCAGCACAAGAGTCACTCAGTCAAAAACTCTGCTTGTCTTCACCAGCACCACTACCACTTTGTTAACTTTCAATATGCACGCTCTCTAGTACAACAACAGTTTCACGCTCAATCAGTTTTACAGCATGCTGCATTTTAAAGTGTGGCTGCTCTACAGTGAAACAATGAGCACTGAGTGGATATGTGCTGGAGTAAAAAAGCATATGAGCTACCTCAAAGCCAACTACCAATAAAAGGAAGTTATATTTTCATTGTTACCTTTACCGGTATGTCCTTCATTCAAAAGTGATTTACTCTGAAGTATGCTATATTCTGGATAAGAAGCATCTTAATGCAGATTCTACTGGCCCTCCGCTGTCTGTTCTGTCCACATTGACCCTATGTCAGGCTCAAGTCATATTAGGCTTGCATAATAGGTTTGTGCTGGAAATGAGGGCTACTTCATGGGCATTAGTCAGCGATTCATTAGAGCACTGGACATTAGGCACCATGAACTTTAGATGACATTGAACTGGAGGTTGTTGGAGAGAAAAATAAGATATGTGGACATCTGTATGAACCGGCTACTTGCTATACTGTGCATAGCAGCTTCACTGTTCATTAGGTAGAGTTAGCAACACAGGTTAAGGTATAAGGATGCTTTTTGAGACAGTACATCACTTACTCTAATATTGCTTGAGAATTATGAATTTGAAAGAAAAAAGCTTAGACAGCACCATAGAGTAGACTATAGGGTAAAAATGACTCCAAGTAAATATACTACAAATTCTATATGACATACAAAATAACCTTTGATTACCTTCTTTATTAAATACTTTTATGACTTACTTTACTTTGATATTTTGTTATCACATACTATGCTATTTCCTTTTAATAGCATACACATCTACACATTTTAGGGCCACTGTGTGTTTAGCATATCCTGAATATGTGACATTTAGTTTTACACCACTATGACATGTTCTTATGACATAAGGGGTTTTGTTATTGCTACATTGTCTTTGTTTTGACATCCATTCACTTTTGCAAAAACGTGTAATACCCATTCAAAGAAATAAAGCATCACTAATATGGAGTGATTATAGAGAAAGGCAGTAATGGAGGGAATACATTTATAGAGACAACGTTTTCCTTTGTTCTTTTTATTTGAACAAGCCTGATTTAAGAAGAAAGAAAATCAAGATTGTCAATTTCACTGAAAAAACATTTTTCAAATTGATTGATTATTTCTGGACAATGAGAAATAGCATTCATTCAGAATGTTAAAACTGAGTCCCTCAGTCCCTTTGACAGAAAGTGTATAATTCCTTAGATGCATAAGTGGGTCTTTTTTGACCCGGTGAGGTGGTTTTCTTGAAGTATCTTTGTAATTACATTTTTTTTATCATTTCATATTCCAGCTATTCCTCAAAAAACATGTTTTGGATATCATGCCATTCACATTTTAAATTTACATTTTAAGAAATTGTAGTTTTTGTATTAGTACCCCAAGCTTCCATAAGTGGGTCAAAACTGACCCGCATGCATTTTCTATGGAATCCTATGAGAAAACGTTTTTTTTCAAAATGTAAAAAAAATTTCTAGAATTATAATTATTTCTAGTGTGAACCAAAATATAATACTAAATATTATACAAGTGATTTTTCTTAACCAAAATGACAAAAATGGCATAAAAACACATTATTCTAATACGGGTCCTTTTTGACCCACTTATGGAAGAGTGTAGGGTCCAGTCACTCGTGCATCTAAGGGTTAACAATAATTGTCCAGTCTAGTGCAGGTGCATTCATTAAATATTACTTTCTGAAGCGTTATTACTGTAGCTCAAAAGAGTGCCGTCATTTTTATAAAGACCTCAGAAAAGCCAATCTATCAGTAAACAGGTATGTCCATACATTGGAATGTCTTTAATGTGCTACAAAGTTTATTTTCCTATCAATTTCACCATATTGTAAATACAATTAAGTCAGATGAGCGAGGCTCTGGATTACATTGCCCTGCAATTAGGCACAAATAATCTCATTACACCTTGCACATATGAAGGAAACCCCTAAAACAGACATCAGGGGCTATAGAAATGGGAATCAAGCTTCCCATGAAGGCACACACTGCTGTAGCTCGTGTTCTCTCTACAGTATGTTTTCTCTCTTTCTGTCCAGAGTGTTACAGGCATACACAGAGCTCTCTTTTTCCAACAGTCTTGTTCTCTTTTATACCCCAAAGAGAGAAAGACATGAGAAGAGAAGGATCAGCAGGAGGATAAAACCCCCCCACACTTTCTCTACCTTTCTGAGGGCTTTGCAGGGATGATACAATATATTGAGATGAGGCTGTAGACAGGTTAAGAACCCCTCTAAATAAAAAAAAATGTCTCTCTTAAAATCCCAGTGCATCTTATTTACTTGTTTACAAATTGGTCAAATTGAGAATGGGTTGTGTGCTGTAGGGCTGTGCAAAAAACAAATAAATGAAGGAAGACTACACATGATAACAGCAAAGAGTTCTAGCTCTGCAGAATGGAGAAGAGTTGTATGTCCTTATATCCTACATTTCCAAGAATCACACGTCCAGCTTTCCATTTGGTTTAATGATAGCTAGACTGCTGCAGTAGGGCTATAGAGAAGTTGATCGATGTTGTGCCTCTGGACTGCTGCAGAATCAGTAGATAGAGGAAGGCATATTAGATGGGAAGCTGATCCCGGGCCAGCACTGATAAAACACAAGGGGACCATTTTAAGCTTTGTCTCTCTTCACGCATTAAAACAAGGCTTATTGCAGTTCTGCCGTTTAGTGCTTCATACTCAATCCTCCTTGTTCTCTGGGAGCAGCAGTGCCACGATTCACAGTGTTCTTCGTGGATCATCTGAGGAAGCTCTCCAGGTTAAAAAAGCTCACAGACTGTCCTTGCGGGCGTGGCAGCCTTCACACACTCTGACCGGGTGGTCCCAGCCTCGGGAGGGCACAGGCTTGATGTGTGTGGAGCAGGGGCCGCACACACCCTGCCCACAGGCCCTGCAGTGGTGCTTGGATATGGCCGGAGTAAAGGGTTTGGAGCACTGGTGGCACTGGGTGATGTCCGCATCTGGCACCCAGTAATCCGGCCGAGCCACATCTTTCATAAAACCTAAGGGGAGTGGAAGGAACAATAAATATTTAATTTAAGATTTTGATAATGGCATAAATATCCATATTTGAACAGACAACTCGTGAAAACTGCCTACTATACACTAGGGCTGATACATTGCTCATGGAGCTTTAATAATGTTTATGTAGTGAATGTCCAGCTGCTATCAAATAACTTATGATGTATGGATAGCTTCTAGACCAGTGGTTCTAAACTGGTCAGGCGTCGGGACCCATTTTTTTCCTTTGTCAATAAATCGCGACCCAACATTTTGAACCACTCAAATCTATTCAACAAAAAATCGTGCTGTAATATATACGCTTTTCAGCATACAATATGAATTAAAGTGAAGTACAGTGCATATATCCCTTCACAGAACTAAAGTATGCTTTTAAAATAAAAACAAAAAGGCAGACTTGCAATCCTGCAAATTCACCACACATGAAAAATGTGACATGCTGAAAACCCAACCCCAGAAGGGGGGTCTGGGGGTATTCTCTGAGATTTTTGAAATACTAACATATAAACTACGCATTCTGGTACAACACTCTGAGAAGAAAATAAATAAATACTATTACTATATTAATCATATTTTATGCCATTGTTTGTTTTTTACTTTGTTCTGACAGCTGAACTTACTGCTCCAGACAGAGAGAAGAGTAAAGAGGAGAGAGTCTGTTAATCATCAAACCGGGGGTCATATTTCATTATGTGTTCATTTTGATCTGAAGTTGTACCCATGGATGTATAAAGAATAGTTCTCCGTGGGGACTTCCGGCAACAATCTTGATTCTGATTGGCCAGAAGACTCGAAAAAACATCAGCAAAGATGTTTTATTGAGAAGATGATCACTAGGTGACAGAAGTTTTCAAAACCGTTTATGGTCTCCGGTACTTCCAGTCCAACGCCTACTGCATGCACAGCGTTAGAAAATCGGGCCTTCAAAATAAAAGTTTGACCTTTTCCAAAAAATAAATAAATTGAAAGAATTTTTTATTTTTTATTTATTTATTTTTTCTTCACTCACACATCTGCGACCCACTCGAAAAGGGTCCGCGACCCACTTTTGTGTCGCGACCCACCAGTTGAGAACCACTGTTCTAGACCATCATATTTGTATTTATGCAAAATATTCATTGCAAGGACCAGGGCCCAGTACATACACATATATATATATACATATCAGTGTTGTAGTCAAGTCACCAATTCACGAGTCCAAGTCACTCTCGAGTCACCACTCTTCGAGTCCGAGTCCAAGTCCGAGTCACCAAGGGAGAGTCGTAGTCGAGTCCGAGTCCAAGTCCGAGTCAGCCAAGGAATGTCCGAGTCGAGTCCGAGTCCGAGTCATCATTACCTGTGTTCGAGTCCGAGTCCAAGTCCGAGTCGAGTCCGAGTCCGAGTCATCATTACCTGCGTTCGAGTCCGAGTCCAAGTCCAAGTCAAGTCCGAGTCACAAGTCTTCATGTATTAATCTTCGTGGATATATGTGTTGAAATGTAGCTGCTCCTCTACATTGCTTTTATCCTGTCATGTTATACTAATCTGTCTATTGAACTGCTGTGAAGCCAGTTTGGCTACAAGTCTTGTAATAGGTGCTATACAAATATAAAGCTTATTACTAATATTAATATCATTATTATTATATATAAATAAACTATATTTAAAATGAGTTACCTTTTAGAGAAGTGATTATATTTGTATGCCAATATTTTCCTATGGTAAAGTTTTCGTTTTGCACTTTTATTTTGATAGTAATAAGATCGGGACTCTTATTTTGAAGGAACTTTTACCGGTTAAATCGGTTTACTGATAAAGATTTAGCCCCAGAAAGCACATGGCTACTTAGCATGCAAAATGACTTCATTCTGCATGTTAAGTAGCCATGTGTTTTCGTGTGGCTGAATCTTTATTTATTGATTAGATCACGTTACTCTGATGATAGTGTTCAAGACAGCCTATATGTCTGAACTCGATCCTTAGAGTAATGTGTTACAGAGCCTTCTCTTCAATATTGTTTCCACATAGAGCATTTTGCGCTGCTCTTTTCCAATGTGGAAGCAGAATGTGTGAAAGCATACAGCACGATGCGGGGTGTGTCTCTAGACATCTTTAGACTGGAATAGCGGGGCCCAGTACATGAACTCGCCTCGCAGCCGGTGCACACGCCAGGATAGAGGACATCAGACTCCATAGAAAACTTGCTCGAGTCCGAGTCCGAGTCCAAGTCGGAGCGTCAATGTACAAGTCGAGTCCGAGTCATCATGGGGGGAAAAATTCACGAGACCGAGTCCGAGTCCAAGTCAGCGTACGCGATAATTCACGAGTCCGAGTCCGAGTCCAAGTCATCGTGCGCCAGAATTCACGAGTCCAAGTCTGAGTCGCGTCAATCAGTGCGCGAGTCCGAGTCGAGTCACGAGTCCCGAAAATCGGCACTCGACTCCGAGTCCAGGACTCGAGTACTCCATCTCTGATACATATACATATACATACAGCTCTTTCTTTCCAGAATTGGGATATTTAAGTAGCCAGTCCTTAAATATATTGCAATTTACTTCCATATTCGTCTATCTAACATTATTTAATTTCAATGTATTTATTGATTGTTTTTATTTTAGTTGTGAAATGCAGCTGCACTCACAGATAGGGTAGTCCACAGCTGTGGTGACCATGTCCAGTGTAGACTGCGCCACCTCCGTCACCCTGCGAGCGATCAGACCACGAGGCTCCACCTTACACACTGACGGAAAGACATGTATGAACAGTACACAAAACTAGCAATAACAATATTTATGAAAGCAGCTAGCACATATACAAAGCATATCTTTAACATTACATTCTAAAAAGTAGATTTTATTATATAAGGTGAATGTAATATCCATTTCAAGAGTCAAGGTATGACAACAAATATATACATTTTTAAGAAATAATCTTTGTGAAAAGCTTATTTTTATCGGAATTGCTTGAATTTTTGTTTTGAATCCCTTTAATAATAATATTTAATATCCATATTTAATAATAAAACACATTGTGATTATGTGACTTCAACTGCTATATGCTGTCAGCAAATCAATTAAACACAACTTACAAATAAAGGTGAAGTTAACCTCCATGAGCAGAACAAAGATGCTGGTAAACTAAATGCTGAGTCATGATCATTTTCTTACCCTGGCTGTTGGTGTCAGCCGGCCCTCCCTGCTGGTAGCACTTCTTACAGACCCGGACCGGCCCACTGCCCCAGCCCCTCTCCGGCACCGGCATCCTCTGGCTGGAGCAGGGATGGCAGAAACCCTCGCCACACGATCGGCAGTGGTGCTTCCTCTCCGCCTCCTCAAACACCTTCCTGCAGCCATGACACGCCTGAGGGGCAGAGGAAGATTCAATGAGGACAGACATTTGCAGGGATATAATGAAAAATATCTTCAACAATTTCTTCTTTCTGTTAATCTGTCATAAAGGAAAGATTTCATAACACCTGGGCTTTTTTCGTACAACTTTATCCCTTGTTATATGAATTGTTATTCAGTGTGTCTCATCTCTAGCTGTTCACACTCACAGTGATCTCTGTGTTGGGTCTCCAGTACGGGGGGGCCACCTGGTCAGTGACCCAGGCTGCCACAGCTTTGGTGGGCCCGGTGCTGTACTCCGACACTGACTGGATCACGTAGTTCATCCCGTCCAGGACCCTCTGGGCAGCGTTCTGGTGGGTCGTCAGAAAAGTGTCCGACTGAAAGAAGAGAGAGGGATAAATGAAGGTGGAGAAAAGAAGATTGATCGGAAAAGGTCGGTGAATGATGACGGTACCAATATATATTCATCCCTACTGAAACAATGATAAGGGCTTCAAATGTATCACCTACAGGATCTTCTTTTGAGCAGAAACAGCAAACTTCATGCAAGGTGTTGCCATTATGATGTTGTTATAATAGCAAATGTTATATGTAATTTAAATAAAGTTTATTGATCCCCCAAGACAATCAAATATCATGTGATTAGGTTTCTTAATGTTGTGGTCTGGCCTTGGTGAATGGTGAGTATTAATGATCCCATCTATCAAATGCCTAATCAATAATCTGCAGTTAATTTGTATTGAAACGGAGTAAAAGTGGAGCAAAAGAAGAAAGCTGGAGTGCTCACCCCCTCCCAGACGTGCTTGACCTCGGACCGCACCACGCCGCTCTCAGGGTCCTGGTTCCCCACCCAGTACTGTCTGCTGCGGTAGATTACACCACAGCTAGCACACTCCAACACATAGCTAATGGGAGGCAGGGAGATACAATGAGATAATTGCAGAGAGGCAATACAAATGCTGTGTGTGTGTGTGTGTGTGTGTGTGTGTGTGTGTGTGTGTATATTTACGTACCCTGACCACGCATACTTGGCCAATCCAAACCATGGGTTATCAGAGGAAGCCGACGTCTTGGGCAAAACGATCACCTCTCTGCCTCCCTCATAACACCTCTGGAGACATAAGACAATCAAAAACTGAAATTAATATAGAAGACATATAAACAGTTATATTGTGTGTTATTTTTTGTAAGATAGGATCAAAAATGATTTGAAAAGGGGCCTGGAATTTGGCGCAGCATGCGACATCCAGTACAAAATCTAAATAGCTGACACCACATAGAGAACTAGGTCCCAGTTGGTGCCTGGTCAGTCTTACCTTGCAGATAAGGACTTTGTTGTTGTACTGGTGAACATACTGGCACAGTCCATCTGCCAAGTGGGGGACCCTGTCTCTCAGATGGTTCATTCCATTTCTACAGCGAATGCTAGAGAGGAACAGAAAACCAATAGTTTCAGAACAACATGAAAGACATCAACAGTGCAAACAGGTTTGAGGAAGTCCAATAGTCCAGAACTGAAACCTCATATCTCACACTCAACTTTCCATGAAGAAGGAAACACAAAGAGTAGGGGACTCTCAATTACTTTTTCTCTCTCTTCCAAAAAAGATGGGAAAGACATTACATGTAATGTGTACCACTGGGAAGTCAGTTAGCATGCACAAGAACAACAACAGATTTCTGCTTTTAGGGAAAACATTCAAATTCTGTGAATAAGCCAGCAGCACCTGACACACTTCTGTTTGTGTGTCTGTTTATTTTTCCATCTGGTAATAAGAGCCTTAAACCGGCTGTGTGAAAATACTGAGGAAGATGTGTGTTCTCTAATTCATTTAAAAAGATTTGGAACTGATAACTACATGAAAATACTCGGAATTATACATTTTGTCTGATATCGTTTTTGCAGAAAAAAGTTAAATTTACTGATTCAAATCGACTTTGTTTTACCGGTACAATTCGAAACATTGGAACAATTCTGTTGAACTGAAAAGTGTATGTGGTGGAATGATGCAAAGGATCGATGCTCAGATGTCTGAAACCAAACATAAGGGCCAGACTTCATCAATAACAGAGGGTAAGCAAGGTGATACAGCCATCCCTTTCATTCTTAAATATCTATAATAATGCTTGATAAAAGGTCACAGAATTAGCAAAATAACTATACACTGAACAAAGTAAAAGAAGTGATGCCAACTTTAAATGTGCTCAGGTTTAGAAGATTAGCTCAAAGACTTCATTTAGACCAGGCTTTGAGTCAAAATACTTCCCAGATTTTGTTCGAGTCAAATGTTCCAGCGCAGTTTAATCTCTTGAAATGTTTGTTGATGACTCACTTGCAGCTGAGGCAGACAGCAGAGCAGGTGAAGTACTCGTCTGGGAAGAAGGAGTACGGGATCATCTTGTCGTCTGACAGTTCTCCACAGAAACGCTCACTCAGGGCCTAAGGAAAAGCAATAAAAAAAAAGGTGAAGAGGGACAGGAGAGAGGAATTATGGAAGCAAAATAAGATAAGAGTCACGACTATGAGACAACATATCTTCATCCCTCTGTTAAATGTCTATACATCGAACTTTAAGTTAACAACAAAGGTAATGGTCCACCACTTACCTCCAGAGCGTGAAACATTATCCCGGGCTGGCGGGGGGAGCGTGTGTGAGTGTTCTTCACTTGCTGCTTGACGGCCTCCAGCAGCCGGCTGTAGTCAGTGGGGGGTGTGATGGTCTGGGTGCCAACATACTGCACGGAGCTGAAGGCCTCCGTACCCAGGCCCAGTTCGTGAAAACGCTTCTGGAGCAGCGTGTCGGCATGACCGGACAACTTAGCATCTGCAGCAGAAACAATGAGGCATAAATACTGAGAGTCTTTCTTATATAATTGCTAAGAAGTTAATTGCAATCCCCTGGATGAGGCTGCAGCCCCCCCACAGTGACACAATGGGGGGGACAACGTTAAGATGTTACATGGAAAACGTAACCGCACGATAACAAATTAACAACAGATGCATTCCCGACTAAATAGTACCCAATTATTTTCTTTACCAGGGAGTTGTGTTTAGTCTTGTGTGTGTGTGTGTGTGTATGTGTGTGTGTGCATGTGTGTGTATGTGTGTGTATGTGTGTGTGACATCTCTGTCTTTGTCTCCGGCTAATCTCGCAGACCTCACTACAAACATCAGTGTAATGTTTTGGTGCTCATTTATGAATCTATGCTCAAGGATCTCTCATGGTTGCTGTAATTCACAAGATTTTAATTGTATTCACTGATTGTTATACCATCATTTCTGACTCCTGACTCCTCTCTTCATTTACTTTAGATTTTTTTGACTAAAACAGCAGGTTGTTTTTTAAATAATAACATGGTGCCTCCAAAGAACTTAAACTGTTCAGCCGGGGTTCTCAGCAGGTAAACAGAACACCAAAGAGCTTAACACCCCCCAAAGATATCCTGTTAAAGAGCAAAAGGGTTGCTATCTGATCACATACAGCATTTGCATCAAGTACATTTCCCTCCCCTACCATGAGCGAGCAGCTGGGTGTGCGTAGTCTCCTGGAAGATGATCACAGCAGGCCCAAGAGACGACAGAGGCACATCTAGACCGCAGCGGCTGGAGAGGGCCCGGAGCTCCGGGGTGAAGTGCTTCAGGTAGGCCCCCGACGCGTTGCTCAGGAACTGGAACATGTCGTTGTGGAGGCGCTCTGCCCGTGTACGATAGACCACTATATCAGACACTGCCAGCACCTGGAAGGAAAGGTAGTAGATGTTTAAAATATTGTTTATAGTGCCAGGAAGATAATTAAAATAAAAGGATTGGAAATAAACCTCACATTCTCCTCTTTTAACAGCCAACTACATTGACAGTGACACACACTTGATTTGTTTCCATATCCTTCTCTTGAATCCAGCTATCACAACAACAAGAAGCACTCTCCCATCTGTGTGATACTACCAGCACCGCCCTGTAGCAACACTGAGCTGGGCCAGAAAAAACTGGGAACCTGGAGAAGCTATAATGCAATTTGGGATCTGTCAATAAATAAAAGGAGCTCGCAAATGATTAGCTCCATATCAACAAAAATGGCTAAACACACATTTTCTCCACCTTATATCCAACAAATGCATAAATAAAACTTAAATACATTGGGTGTAGGAGTGAGCAATACATTTAATATACTCAATGTATTGATTTAAAGTGACATTTACATTTCAATTGTGTGCATAATTGGTTAGAATTGTAAATAAAGAATACATTTGCAAAGACTAATTTGACTTTAAAATGACAGAACAGCACCTAATAGTGCTTAGATTTGAATACTAGAATATTCACGCTTGTGATTTTCATACGCATTAAACTAAAATAATGAAACCATTTTGTAATTTCATAGAAAATATCGATATGCATGTTCAAATATCAAATCACTATCTGTAAGGCATATTGCCTAGCTCTAATTGAATAATATAGAGATCAACACTTTTTTTTTTAGTTGTTGCTATAAATACATCCAGTTATTAAGTATTTTCAACAAACCAACCAGTGATCACTAAACGCACCTTTAGCAGCAGCCGCATTCTCTGGTTCTGATTGGCCGCGGCCCCCAACAGGCCTTCAGTATCCAGGGCGACCAGGCCGAGGGTGGGGTCATACGCAGCCCACACTCCCACCGTACAGGAGCTGGGGGACTTGGAGGTGTAGAACACACTCTCCCCGCTGAAGAGGATGTGGTTGAGGGTGTGGGACTTGCCATCGCCGGTGTTTCCAAAGATGGAGAGGACCTTGACTCCTGCCACGTCCCCACAGCCCAGCCTGTCCACAAACTCAGTCTCATCACGGACCTGCAGGGGGGGGGGGGGGGGTAAGGAGAGCACAACGCCAAAAGTCATTTAAGGACGGAGGATGGATTGCAGGGCGGTCTTAACATGATATCATAGGCTCCCCTGCTGACTTAATTGAATCAATGGAAAAAGGTTATTCAATTTGTACAATTCAGTCGTGGTGGATGACAAGAAGTCTAAGACACATCAAGAACAATAACTTCAGTGTTCTCCACTAATGTTACCAACATTGGTGCCCGCAAGAGAGCATCGTAATGTAGGGCTAACAAATGTGATGTGTTCAATGTTAATTTTTCTGATGCAGTAATGATTGGTTTGATTGTTAAAATAAAAATAATGATGGTGTGAGTTAGGAGATTTTTTATTTTACATCAAGCAGAAGGACACACTAACAGGAAGCTATTAATGGTGACTGTATTGCAGTTGTAAAACAATTGCCTAGACACTGATGAAAAACTGTCATGCCGCATAATGGACATTTTAGAAGTGGACAGGTTGGTTATTTCTTAACATTTATTTCTGAAGATTTCTACAACTTTCTGCTTTATTGGCTAGTATTTTCACTGTCTGTAGTTAGAGAGAACAAACTTAGAGTACTAACATTGGGAATATGTCTAGCAAGATTGCAAGACGACAACCACAAGTGTGACACTGCTTTGTGAGTGGTAGATAATATAAGATACACCTTTATTAATCCATGTGGAGAGGGAAATCCTCAGTGAAATGTGAGACACTTTCTATGGTGATATTTGAGTTGTTATCAACCTTTGCTGACTAATTAAGCACAGAGATCATTTCTAGCTGGGTGACATGAATTTGTAAGTACTTAATTCTCAAATCTTGATGTTGTCTGAGGAGAACTTTGTTGACAAGCCTTCAATTGTTTTGTCTTTTTGTGATTGTACCTGTCTGATAAGCTCCCACCTACAAATAGAGAAATAGTTTCTGAATTAACAAATGAACAAACTTTCTAAAAATAAAGAACTTGGTGATCTATAATTCTACTATCGTTGAGAATATATACATACAGTCCAGAATTATGGCCGTATTCATTCAAAAAAGTCCAGCTTGGTTGTAGCTTATACATCTCAGACTGTTAGGATAAATGAACCCGTTATCAATATGCCCTGCACTTTGTACTGCTTTAACAACAATACAGTGAGGGAGCGTCCTGTAGGTCAGCTGCACTCCATGACTCACCAGGGACTTTCCCAATAAGAAACACGTTAGCTGCTCTGCCTCCCTTTTTTGAAGGTAACACAATATATGTATTTGCTTAAAAAACAAACGTCACGGGTAAAGGCTATTCATATAATAGAGAAAGGGAGAGAAAGCTCCTTAAATTGAGATAAAACAATAACATGATGACTTTAGCTCGGTGTTTTGTAAGCCGACATGAGTCATTCATCAGCACTGTAACTGTTAGCATAAGTGACAGTGGCTGGCTTTTATAATAATATGCGTTGTTGTTCTCCTCTTTTTAGCTTTAGCAGCTACATGTTAGCATCCGCTAGCTCAGTTGCTAACTTTACCTGCAGGTTTTCCTGTTCATCCACCAGCAGGAAGCTCCGAGCACCGTCTGGACACTCTTCAGGCTTCGTCGGACTGATCGAGATGCTCTCCATTTCCTTCATCAGTATGTCGGACATAGTTGTTTACTTACTTAAAAACATATTTGTGACGGCCGAAAAGCAAACTGAAAGTTAACATGACTCCCTTCTGTCAATCACAACAACAGCGCGTGTGAGCTGACGCTGCGGGAGGAGCAGCACGCAGCGAGTGACGTCAGACGCATTATGTGTGTTTAAAAAAACAAAACTTTTTTAATGAATGATCATAAAAGGATATACAAAAAATAATTGCAACAACAATAGTAACACGAAGAGGAAAATGTGGCATTGTAGATGGCCATCCTGAAGGCTTTCTTATTTGTTGTTCAGTCCAGAATAATTGGACGATGAAGTGAATTAAATACCGGTAGGTTATCGTTTCAGACCATTTCTATTTTTGGATATTATATCTTTTTTTAAATGGCATAATTTCTTTCCAGATCAGTTTCATGATTAAGAATCTCTTTCTTCGTGAATCCCATAAAACTGTTAAATACATGTTCTACATAACTCGAGAATGATTACACATAAATGTAATCAATTGGTTTGTTTGGTAGATTTTATGTAGACATACAATGTATTAATGACCAAATAAATGTTATAGTAAGTCCACATATTACGCACTGTGTGTTGGTCCGGTCATCGTCTTGTCTGAGTCATTAGCGCCACCCTGTGGACAAAAGGATGAATTACACAGGACCTGCCTATCAACAAAACTTCAAAAATATAAACAGCATACAATTAAATGATATGATGTCTTCAAATAACTTCACGTTTTCTGTGAGATGATTACCAGATTTTTTAATTTCCGAAGATGAATTACGCAAACGAAAAAAATTCAAGTCCATTTATTTGTTTCACTATTTAAAGCTGGGAAATAGCTTACACATCTTTTAAACCAATTCCAAATTACAGCTAGACACATGGGATGAAAGTTTCTATTTCAATGGCAGAGAGTGTTTTATTGGAGCAGTGCTGCCATGTTAGAGCTGCTTGCTAATGTTCATTAAATATTTGTTAGCACAGATCTATAAATATCACATGTCACCGAATGGCTTCAGAGCGGCGCCACTGCTGCCTACAGGACATGGAGAAAGAAATTCCAGCATTGCTACTCCAACAGACCTGGCTGATATCCATCGGACCTTCCTTTTCCTTCTTTCCTTACTGCCTTCCTCGTCCCCTTGCTTCCTTGCTTTCCCCCAAACAAATGGAAAAGCATATACAGATGTAAATAAGGAACGAGAAAGGAAATAATAAAGGAGAGAGGGGTGAGGAGATTGGAGGGGGTCCCAATTTTTTCTCCGGGCTCAACCATGAGAGACAAATGTCTGAAACAATCAATTATGGGCCTACTCCCAACCCATCGCCCCTGATTAATGAATAATTAAAGCTGCTCAGTGCTGGGCTACCTAGCATAGATAATATAAGATTAAGCATGGGTCTAACAGCATGCCACCACTAATGTAAGGTTATGAAGACACAACGTCTCTTAATTTGACTTTAAATAGAGAGAATAAACTTGCCACTGAAGGTTAAGATTCTAATTGAATATATTCTGCAACTTTTCTTTAGGAGAATAGAGTTGACTTCCTTTATAATATCGACTGTATGTATTAAGAAAATGAAATAGCTTTCAACATTTTTTTTTTCTTACAAAATATACAATTTTTGTGTTCTTTTAAATGTGTTCTTTATAATGAGCAATTCAGGTGATAGAAGGCTTAAACCTCACTACCAATATGTGTAGGGACAGATTGGTAGTGAGGTTTAGGCCATGTATGAAAAATATATATAATTGTGTTTTCCTTGCATATATTGCAAAGAAAACACAATTATATAGTTTTTCTTAATATCTTCCCTTCTATATTTAGTGTGAAATGTAGGCCTATCCATCAAGTTGCAACTGACGTGATGCAATTTTGGGACAGTGCAACCTCACCCACCATCACCATCCAGACAAGGCAACAATGCAGGAGAGAATCTGGCATCCTCAGACTGACAGACAGCCCTGCAACCCAACCTTGACATAACTGTAGACGTTTTTTTATTTTTTTTAAATAAATTCGGAACTGGGGGATGGCTTTGCACTTACAAGTCCGAGGCGGGACTGTGGTCCACTTAAGCCGCTATCCCCGCTGGTAAATGTAGTGCAACCCCCCTCAGCATGTTCCATGTTGACATGAGTAAAAACTACACTTCCCCAAAGCTGTCACACAGCGCTCCCGCCTCCCATTGGCTGCTCTCTCCAGCCGCAGCCCCAGAGAATGAATGAAATTGAAATAGCTGCTACATTACATGTACAATACCGGGCTCTGCAGTGTTGCATTCTATCATACTATATCAAAATGGCCACAGCGGTACAGAACCCTCTCAAATCGTAAGTACAACACATTTTCTCAGCGTTTGGGCTTTTGTTTATTTGTGCATGCTGTCAGTGCAATTTTAGAGCCCTTTAATTCCTAGATATTTTTCAGCACGATTACCATCAGATCTATAAATGCAATGCATACAGCAAAGAGATATTTTCAACGGTGGCGAACCAGCCCTAAAGAAAAGTTACATTTGAAGCTGACGGGGGGTTTCTGTTTTTTGGCACCATGGGGTTATTGTGAGCTACGCTGCAATTCATACAATAATTTCCATGAGCGAACAGCAGCGTGTGTACAGGGATATGGAGGAATGCTGGAGGTAGATTTGGGTGACCCGGTGTGTCCCTTGCCACTGTAGCCAGCCAAGATCGCGGTCAAAGCCAGGCTGGAGAGGGAGGCTGACCGGGAGCTTAGCTGGCTTTACCGTACCTGTGTGCACATTTTTGGGCACAGAGGGGGTAAACAGGTAGGCAGAATGGAGATCACTACCCGGTTTTTTGGGCTTCAGCGTTACCTTTACTGCCGGACCTCTCGGCAATAGGCTACATAAGCCGAGGTAAATACGCTGTTGTACGGCTGCAACTCCGAGACTCGCATTCATCTTTAGCGCCTATAATAAAGCCTATAATAACATCTAGCGTTTTACACGTGCATCTTAACCGGCATTTCATTCCACTGATGGGTCTTTAGCCGGGAGGATTTTCCGTGAAGTTTCCGATGTGCTCCCCTTTGTGGGTTTTTTGGGGGTCTTTTTTTTGTTTTTCTGAGACTGGTTTCAGCGGAATGCAGACGCCTCCTGCCCGCCTGGGCTCCCGGCCAAAAACGTAGCTGATGTGCGTCTGTCAACGGGTACTTAAAAAATTGTACCTGTCCTAAAAAATCCCACAACAATAGCTCTAATATAAACATACAACTGAGGAGTGTTTGAGCACACAGCAGATATAGCTTATGCAGTTTGAAACAAAGAAAAGTCGTATATGCAGAAGCAGGGGCTCACATCGGATGCTGCACAGGTTTCACCTGAGCATGGCTATGGGATAAAGACTGCCTGCCAGTGCCTGCCTGCCTGTCTGTCTGTCTGTCTGTCTGTCTGTCTGTCTGTCTGTCTGTCTGTCTGTCTGTCTGTCTGTCTGTCTGTCTCTCTCAGCCTCTCTGAGATGCAGACACAGGCGACATTCTGTGCAATTCCATGAACGACTGCCTTGTACGTGCCTGTTTTGAAGAGCACTTCAGCAGAGAGCGAACTGGAATTGGGCAACTGGGTGCTGCCATGATTGAATGTGATGGTATTTCGCCAGATGTATTTCACTCAAAGTACATACCTCAATTATAGTAAATTAAATATGAAAGATGAATAATTCCAATGTTTAATTATGTTGTAATCAGCTGGTATCCACTTATGTGATGATGGGACGGGAATGGACAGGTGGACTGCATGGAGGCAGTAATGTGGGACCTATGAGCTCCGAGCTTCCTCTCCCCTCCTTTCTAATATGGGATGCTCAGAGAAAGTGTGGACAGATTGCTCCCAGAGGCCCCCACTGACACCATGTAAAGGGGATTACATTGAATGATTTGCATGGAATATATACCAATGTGGTACCAGGATGAGGTTGGTGTCAGAAAGAGAATAGGAAAGAGTGAAAGTAGAAAGACTGACTAATAAACAAAGTTTCAGTTTTCATTGATTGTCTTATAAATTGATTTTAAACCCACAGAAAAGAGGAATAATAAGCTAGAGATCAAAGCAGCAAAGTTGTCAGGCAGCTGTAGACCTGCAGGGATGCTGGCACACTGCTCCACTACAGCATTTGTCTCTATGTGCAATAATAAAGCTGAATGTATTTATAACACAAGGCCACAGCAATCAACACTGCCTTAACACCTCTCCGACTGTATAAATGCCATCGTTACGCAGTATGGGTTTAACTGCGTTCCAGTTACCACACTGCGATCAGCTTTTAAACAAGCCCTAGTAATTAACATGTCTACAAACAAACTTGCTATTAAGAGTCTTATAAATGAAAGGCTTATCCAGCAAAATGGGGAAAACAACTAGCAACATTTGGTTCAATGTCAGTACTAACGGGGTGGCTGGCTGTGGGCCGGAGACCATGCCATGTTGTGTCCCTAAATGTCCTTAAACTTTGTTGAATCTCTGGAATAATTAATTCAGTGGATGTAAATTCTGCAGGAAGTGTTCATCCATGTGTGAATGAAGTATGCATGCAGGGGTAGCCATGTGTGTGTGTGTGGAAGTACAGTGGAGGGTTCATTTGTGTGTGAAGGCAAATCAGTGGAGGAGAGCAGCTCCAATATACTGGGCATTTCCCCACCAGCCCCCTCTCTGTCTATCTCTCTGCTGGATTAGAGACTCTTTTAATCTCCCTTTCTCTCCTCTTCCTCTCCATCTCTCTGCCTCTCGTTCCCTCCCTGTCCTCTTATCACCCCTGCTACCCCCTTCCTTCCACGTCCCCTTCCTCCTTCTTCATCACTCTCTTTCCATCCATCACTCTTTTTTCGGCCATCTCCCTTTTGTTCAGCCATTTCCCCTCTCTCTGTCTTGCTGGCTCTCTCTTTTCCATTTTCATTCTTTTTCGGCCTCAAACCATCTGATTCCTCCAAGTCGCTTCCCCTCCACCCCCACCCGCCACCATGGTGCTTTACATTGTGAACCAAGGCATGTCACTATGTTAATATTCAGCAAAAAGGACTGAAGGAAAATTCTTTCAGCATTTTGTCGGATCCCTTTAAATCTTACTGGCTTCCTTTTTG